TCAAAGAAGCCACATACCACTTTTCCCAAGCTTTCAAAGAAAAAAATAATTTCTTACAAGACAACTGTTTCTTATCGGGAGATATATGTGTGTGTGAACATATTTACATCTTCCACAAAGCACTCATTAAGAACAGAGATTCCATGTTTTGGTAGCACATATAATATTGATAATTTACTAAGTATTCAAATTTTTATCATTCTTGGGTTTCTTAATGTGAATCTATAGCCTGTAATTTGTAAATTAGTATCTGTCATTTACTGAGCTAGACATTATATAACTTCTAAATTGAAACTGCTAAAAATGATCATAAGGTGACTATAGTTCTCAGAAGCTCATTGGCCGACATATTCACTGAGTGAGTGAATTCCCTTGCAGTGACTAGGCAGAAAGCAGCTTTCTCGCTTTTGGGAGTCTGAGTTCAATTCAGAGGCAAGGAAAGACACAGAGGCAAATAATATATCCATAGTATATAAAAAATAAATATGCACTATCAGACTTCTGCTATTGTATACATACTTAATTTCACCCTAACAATAAAAAATATTTTATGTGAAAAAATATTTGGGAAAGAGATGTGGAAATTTCTAAAAGATACTCAAACACATTTATCTTTAAAAGAATATGCAAACAAGCATCTGATTACAGATCACAGAAAAAGAACTTTAATTTTAAGTTATCTTTGTTTTACTCTTTTCTCAAATCTTTCATACTTGTAAATGTCTAAAATATACTTATAAAATTTGGCAGAAATATGCTTACTTCCTCTTATGATAAGATTCTCTTCTATATCCAATAGATATAATTTCAGTCAAGTCTCTCCTACCTCAAATACCAAGATTCCATATTTACCAGACCTGTAAATTAGTTTCACCTAATTTTAATTAGTTCAGTTCTATTACTTCTACTAAGAATTATTTTCTGTGTTTGTGACTCCCTATCTACTTTATAACCATAAACACTACTGAAATATTAATAATAAAGAACTACATTATTTTATAATATATTTACCAAATAACAATTATGGAAGAAAACTATTAATATAGAAGTAATCTTATCTTCTACAGAAACATATTTGAAAGTAAATTTATTTTTAACCAATGTCACCTTTAGGTCCATAATTGAGGTATTTGTTAATATAATCAATTTGTGATCCTTTTCATACTTGAGAAAGGCATATTAGCAAAACAGTATGATTTTTAAACCAAATTTTCATTAAATTTTAGAAAAAAACTGCTAAATGGGAACAAGAATAACAGATTAACTTCCCTGCAATATATATGAGTAAAAAATGACTAAAAATAAAAGTAATATATATATATATGTAAAATTATGTTATGGAAAGGTAAAACTGAAATGGTTTTATATTAAGAGGTAGGCAATTTGGTGGCCAAGGCACACAGCAAAATTGCCATTTCATTTCAATGTGACAACAGTCTTTTTGGCAGCAGATTAGTTTAACATTGAACATCCCACCAAAACAGTAATCTATTTCCAAGTACATAATAGTTCATTGTTGCCCTTCACTGTACATTAAATATCACCCATCATTGTGGCAGGAAAACAAAAGCTCTTGCACACAAGTCAGGAGCCATGATCAAAGCTGTTAATGCAAATACTTTAGACATGGTTTTCTGAAATTAGTTAAACCATCAAAAACATCTATACTATGTTTAGAACATCTTTACTTCTGAGTGCCGAGAGATATATAGAATACTTTTACCAGTATAAGGACTCTCAGTAAGGCAACAACCTTATCATCTTGTGGACCGCAGACCATGTTAGAGCCAAAACATATGTTCTGGTGGTCACAGTAATAATAAACCTTTCAGCTGATACCCTATTTAAGGATAGCATCCCCTACTGCCTAACCCAGTAATACAATACACAGTATTCTGATGTTCTGAAAATAATGCAAAGCAATCAAATGCAAAAATACACAAGAAATTCTATATTCTTTTTTATGCTTAAAAAAACTAAAGTTATGTATTTAACACATTGAATATTTTTTTATTTTCTCTTCTTGCTAAGAAGAGCCAGGTTAGTCAATGTTGCTTGCCTTATTTTACTATTTTTCCTATTTTGACCATACTCAATTGTTCATTTAAGTAGTCTAAGATTTCTCTAAATAATATTCTTACTATATGCGGTGTTTTTCATATACTCAGTGGATAATTATAATGGTTACATCAATCCTGTTGGAGGGAAATGTGTGTGCCATTATTTCCTTTTTTTTTTCAGTTTGGTCCTTAGTTATTCATCTCTGTGTGACAAACTACTAAGAACCCTGAACCAGATTTACATGCTGTATTTCAGCACAGCTCTGGTTGTCTTGGAGACAACTATGGTTGAAAGAAAAAAAAACTGTAATATTATGAGATTTTAAATGGACTCATTTTATAAATAGTATCTAGTGTATCAATATCATCAGTTTTTTCATAAAGGAAATATTTGAAGCAAGGTGAAAAATAACTCTCATTATTAGTGTAAAGGGTGGGTTCCCTAACCAGTTTTTATATAACTAACTGACATTTTTATCCTAATAAACCTAGGTCAAAGAAAAAGAGAATAGAAAAAGGGCAAAGTGTTTAGGAGCAAGTGTGATTAGGTACAAGCCCATAATGGACAAGATTTCTTCCTAAACCCTCTACCAGAAAAAAGCTATTGTTAGGATACCTGGGACATGCCATTCTTTCTCTAGAAAACTGAAACTCAGGTTCATCTTTACTCCTAAATAAGATTTCTCAGCTAATTCAGATAAGCATGCTGGTTATGTCATTATGCTACAAACAATAATGCCACTGTTTGCAAGAGATCAGAGATTATAAAACCAAACCCAGACATATAAAGAAGAACACATATCTCTTGTTAATACTGATTTTAAAACTTAGATCATTTGTTAATTTTTTAGATCAGCTTTTCCACATAAGAGTAAGGGAAAATTTTTTAAATGTATTACAATCACAGTCTACTTTTAAATTCAATTTTAAAAAACAAATTATAACATTTATGATCAGCTCTTAATTGATCATAAAATTAATATTAATACTATGATGTAGCAGGTAATTCAATAAACCTCAAATCTATTATTCTAACAACTAACAATTTGCTCAATGCTTTGTTTACTTTATAGTTGTGTATTTTTCTCCAGTGAAATATGTTAGCAGTGATTTTTTTAATAAAAATATATTTAAAAGAATAGCACTCATGAAAAATTGGGTAACTATCAGCTATTTTTATGAACTTCATTCAAGGCCAATAGGTATTTATTCTTAGGTAAAATGAAAATGCTATATTTGTTTTGAATTGATAACAAATATTGCAATTCCATTTAAATTACAAAGGTAATTAAGTTCTACAATTGAAATTTGTCATTGTTTCTGTATTCACATTCATGAACTTCTTCCATGGTAGAGGAACTCAATACCATGTCAAAGTAGATTTTAATTAAAAAATATATTTGGTTTGGGAGTTTCAGTTTGGAATTTAAAATGGCTCTAAGAAATTTTTTACTGCATTTTTTAAAACTTATTTTAGCAAGATATCTAATATTATTTATTATGTAATATAGGATATCTAATTATTTACTGTATAATAGAAACAGGTGTACCTGCAGATTTTTCTATATTTTGTTTTCTTCTATGCCTTGCAATATTTATTCTTCTGTTTGCCTTGTGGACAGATTTCAAAGTCTTCTGGACATTGAATAATTTAAACTGTAAGCCTTGGACTCGTCTCTGAATACATTTGAAGCAGGATGGCTTTTGTTAGTCACCATAAAGTGTATGTGTGTATATATATGTATATATACATATATATATAAATTTACATATATATAAAGTGTATGGCCATATATATAGTCAAAGATGCTCTAAAATGAGAAGGCTATTTTATTTTCACAAGACACAGAAGAATCTAGAGCTAAAAGCCTGAGATCTTCATACTCTAATTTATCCTGGGGACAGGAACTTCAAATAACAGTGTTAACACTCTCCACCAAAGAGCTGCAAAAGTTATATGTATAAATAATTCCAACAGGAGTTTTCAGTCAAAGGTAAGTGATAATTGCCTGAAGGACTCAAATGCTAATATTGAAGCAATTAGGTGAAATATTATAAATTTGTAAAACATTTATGTGTAAATATATCAAAATATTTGTGTATAAGGAGTGAATATATAAAAATATATCAAAAATATTATACTATTACCATAACTGATTTTATTTCCTTTTAATTGAGTGAAGTAAATGTTTTTACTGTTGGGAAAATATGTATGGCTTCACTGTAAAAATACTAAGTTCAAGGAAAAACAAATACTTTAAGCCCTGGCTGGCGTAGCTCAGTGGATTGAGCGTGGGCTGGGAACCAAAGTGTCCCAGGTTCAATTCCCAGCCAGGGTGCATGCCTGGGTTGCAGGCCATAACCCCCGGCAACAGCACATTGATGTTTCTCTCTCTCTCTCTCTCTCTCTCTATCTCCCTCCCTTCCCTTCTAAAAATAAATAAATAAAATTAAAAAAAAAGAAAAACAAATACTTTAGTGATACAATGATCAGAAGAACCTATTTAATATAATTAAAAACATATTTAATGTTAATGATAGGGCAAAAGCATATTTATATTCATACATTATAAATTTTATCAATGTGAAATAACTATATGTAGAATTCTAATTCATCTTGTGTTTAGAACTATCTTTTCATATGTACTAAAATACAAAAATTCAAAGTTAATAATAAATATATGACTTTCAAGTTCATTAGAGTAATAATAGTGTTCTGAGTCCTGAGGGGCAGTTTTATGTTCTTAATTAAGGCAGACGAAAACTTAATCATATTGAAATTATCTAGGTGTTAAAAATTTGATAGTGAGGTAAGCACAAATGAGAAATTATTACAAATTTCCACCTCCCAAGTAATAATAAATTAACAAAAAGTAACATAATTAAGCTATATCATTTATTGTAAATGCCATTATGTAAATATAAAAGCATGTTTCTTTTCTGGAGAGAGCGTGAATTCAGTCCCCCATTAGCACAAATTATGCAATGAAGTTTCCCACATTTGGGGAAATCACATGGTCGGCACATCCTGAGAGCAAGGGATAAGCCTCACCCTGGAAAACCACCTTCAGGATCATAGTACCTCCCCTGCCAATTAAGTGTGGATAGAACTATTTACTTTTCACTTGGGCATTTGAGCTCTGATTCTCTGACCGAAATAAACTGTACATGTCAACAAAATAAGGCAGTATATGTGGTGATACATTTATTATTTGAAAAAATGACAAATTGTATGTATAAAAACATGGTATTCTTTTTATACTTCGAATGTTTTTTTTTTAAATTAGATTTGGTTCAGTAAAAAAGAAGGCACCTTTTAAATTTTACCAGTTTGGTTTTTCTTATGATTGATTTATTAATTCAAACTGGCAAAAACACACTAGTATTCTACTCTCTGGTTCAAGGGAAATCTTTAAAATGAAATAGTTCTTATATCATGGTGATTAGGACTGCTTTTAGATTCTGATTAACAAGAGCAAATTCTACCACAATTATAGCTTACTGACACAACCAGCATGCTTTCTGCCCCAGAAGGCATCCTAGGACATTTTAGTAAGTTATGTGACTTTTAAAAGTTCATTGTTCATCAGTACACCCATGGGAAATAAAGAAAAAGAAAATTGATTGTGACTTTTGACAATTATTAGTTAGAAAAAGGAAGTAACAATTGCCAAAAAAATCACAAAAGTGAGCATGTTACCTGGCTATGACAAAGAGCACACAACTGACACCCAAGTAAGCCAGCAGAATATACATCCAGATATCAGGGGAGAGAGGATTCAGGAAGGAGAAGACGCCTGGGTTTGTACCATTGGGCTTGCGGTACAAAATACTTATTCCAAGTGTCATAAAGGGCTTGGAGAAGTCGATGACCTTCTCTCGGACGTAGGTAATAGCCAGTGGAGCAACTGCAAGGTCAGCTTTCTGTAGAGAGAAATATTAAAAAGAAAAACAAAGAAACAGTTCTAAGTCACAAGAAAAAAGTCAGTAACCAAATTAAAACAAACATTACACTTGAGAATTGTCTCAGTAACAATTACATTAACGTTTAAAGCATTCTTCACTCTGACTTGAAGTATTGATTTACTCTGCTACTCATTTCTATGTGCTTCTAGATTAGCAAGCCAAAATTTATTGCTAAGTATAAAGGAAAAAAAAAAACAATATGATGAAAACACTGAAGAAACAATTATACATTCAGTGCCTGAATCATTATGCTACTAAACATTTATAATTTTTAAGTACTTTTGTCAAATTCTAAGTGGTAATATTAACAGCTACCTCAAATCTTTTAGACATTAATAATAATTTTTTTTCTTGTTTTAACACTATTGAGCACAGTTGAAAGCTTTTAGTCTTTAAATAGTTAACATTGTGAAAAATCACCTTTTAATTTGATGTTGTTTACTGTCCTGAAGTTTTCTTTCTATCCCTCTAATTTGTTTTATATTATTTAATGAAAATCCTTGCAGCTTTGCCTAAATCTCATTAGGAAATGAGTTTTTCAATTTTCATGAAGTCGCTAATTTTCCATGGTAGCTTAAATATGTTAAATTGCTAATGCTTTTCACTCATCATGTTATAACCATCTGTCAGGGATGAACTTAAACTCTAATATATTGAAAGAAATAATTATAATATATTAAAATAGCATAGGCATCTATTTCTATGTATGATGGGAAGCTATATTTCTCCATTCCTTTTATTTTAATAGAGGTATTTAGTTTTCAGACAGTGTAGAAGAAATGCTCATTGTAGATGGAAAGACATACAAAAAAAATAAATTTGGGCCTCTGCTATTCCTTGGCCCAGGAATTGTTGAGCTACTTACAGAAGAAACTTCCCTAGGTGGCTAGGTTTGTGAACACTGGTATTTTGGATGTGTATTTATGTGCATTTGTAGGCATGCGGAGAAAGAGATAGCTCACAGACGCTTGGATATGATATCTTTGAGAGTATCTATGGAGAGAGGAAGACATTTCCCTAAATATTCAGTAAGTGACCCACTCATCCAGAAGGAGCTGACATAAGCTGGGGCTACAACAGCCATTGTGCTCTGCAGTTAAATTTCAGAGGATTTAGGGCCGACTCCAAGCAATGAATTACATTATCTCCAATTGCAGACCCTATAGGATGTGAATGTGTCCTTCATATTTGATTGGATTTATAGTGGTTTCAGAAGTGTGCTGCCATTTTTAGGATTATATAAGAAAACTGGTAAATTGGTATTTCCTGAATGGGATAATGCAGGAGAAACAACATTCTACACATGCTAAATGATGACAGACTTGGACAACATGTTCCAACATTACGTCCCACTTCAGAAGAACTAACAAATTCTGGCAGACCTTTACAACTTTTGATCTGAGTGGGTATGTTCAAATTCGAAGAGTGTGGGAAAAACTATCAATGGCATTATATTTCTGGTGGATTATGCAGAATATGACAGGTTATTAGAAACCAACAAAGAGCTTGACTCACTAATGGCTGATGAAACCATTGTTAGTGCCTATACTAATTCTTGGGAATAAGCCATCAGTGAAGAGAGATTACAAGAGATATTTGGTTTATATGGTCAGACAATAAGAAAGGGCAACATTATCTCTGAGAGAACTGAATGCCTGGCCAGCCCTAGGAACTTTTTATGTCCTATGTGCTCATAAGGCAGCATTTCAGAGAAGGATTCCGCTGGGAGGCACAGTGCATCAGTTAATGCCAACCAACCTTGAGTTCAGGTCTCGCCATTCAGGCCTACTTAGAGATTTGATTGCTGACCATGAATAATTAGAATTCAATAGACTTTCATTGGTTAAAAAAGAGATGTGTTTTAGATTATTAATATATTAATTTAATTTGAGTGAGAATTAAAAACTGACTCAAGGCTGAATATCACAGTGTTAACTTTCTAATTCATAAAGATAATTAATTTTTTATAGTTAATAATCTGACACGACCCCCAGTGCCATTTATAAAAACTACTGTCCAGCAGTACACTTGATAAACTTTTTAACAACATAAAAACTACAGATATAGACCGTAATTAAAAGCTCATCATGTTAAATTTTTATTCACATTTTTAACTAGTTTTTAAATTTTAGATTATATGTCCACCTATCTTAAATGCACAATTAATAATTAGCTTATTGATGATTGCATGATGCCTCTCAGGCTTCAAAATGATTTTTTCTTATGCAAACTTGCAATAACACAAACCCTCATGTTTGGTCAAAATGAAAAAGGAAATAAAAGCACATCTTCTGGGTCCTGGGGTAGGTATCATCATATTTCAAATTCATAATCAAGAAAAATATCAATTTAACAATAATAATTACTAATATCTCTTAAAGCATTTATCACAAGCATTGTGATAAAAAAAAAACTTCACATGAATTGCCACAATTAATCCTTACACAATCCTACCATTGTGCTCATTTTCAGATAAGAAAATTAAATTCATGTAAAGTTAAAATCTCATTCTTTTGCTCAGAGCTAATTGAGCATTAGAAATAGGACATAAAACCAAGCTAAAGAAATCTATACCTGAAATCAATGATGGCATGCTTCTCAGAAACCAGAGATGAAATCATGGAGACCTCATTCATTCATTCATTCATTCATTCATGAGTTTGTAGAGATGGGAAGGAAAATACATAGAAGCAAAGGTAGTAATTAATAGACTACAGTCCGAGAGAATTAGTAGGTACAGAGTTAAAGCAGACAGAGTATGTTGCACAGGAAAAAGATAGCACTTACTCTGAGACAGAAAGGAAAGAAGTAAACGTGGTTTGAAAACTACACAGCTTTATTAGGGAAACAAAGATTCCAGGTTAAAAAAATGGATGATGTGAAGTGGTGGTTTGCTTCTGTTTGGGATTGAATATGTGTGCAGCAATTAAGCATTGTGCCGCTTCGTAATTTCCCTCTTACTAGGGCAGGGAAAGCAAAATTCCACCGCATATAAAGTACATAAGTGAATATGTTTTGAACTGGTAAAAAAAAATTAATTCAAAATAGATATTAGCAAAAGTAAAGAAACAATTCAAATAATATATTAAAAACAAAACCAATATATTACTCCAAAAAATTGTTATATAGGCATATACCAATAAGATTGACAAGATACACATCAAATTTTAGAATTTATTTAGCATTACCTAAAATACAATTTTGATTCCAAATATAAAATGGAAAAAAGACCAAAACTTACATAGTAAAATACTTTCAGTTATAAAAGAAACTTGTTATTTCAAACAAAATATACAAACATTTAATCAATAATAAGTCAATCAACAGACCACGTACATAAATATAATGAAATAATCTTCAGAAATAAAAGGAAATGAGCTACCAAGAAAAAAAAAAAACATGAAAGAATCCTAAATGTGTTTGGCTAAGTGAAAGAAATCAGTCTATAAAGGTTATACAGCATGATTCCAATTATTTGACATTTTGAAAAAGGCAAAACTATGGACCAAAAAGATCCGTGGCTGCCAAAGGCTCAAAGGGGAACAGGGGTGTAATGAATAGGTGGGGCACAGAACATTTTTAGGGCAGTCAAGCTACTCTGCAAGAACTGTAATGGTGGGTACATAACACCATGCATTTATCAAAAGCTATAAAATTGTACAACACAAAGAATAAACCCTATGGATGCAGAGAAATCTGATCAAATCACCAGAGAGCTGTAGGAACGGGATGTGGGAGGAGGTTGCCCAAAGCAATGGTAAACAGCCTGGCACTGGATTAGCTGAGAAGCTGAATGCCTCCAGGACACATGGAATTATGGGTGAGAAGATTGGAAATAAAAGAAGTACTCTTGGGCTCTAAGGCTCTCTGACTGGCTGGCTCTGAATCTCAGGCTCTTCTTCTTCCAGGATGCCTGGATGATGGTGCTGCGGCTGCCTTCATTTCCCAACGGATGGTATTTTTATGGGAAGGAATTCCAGGCACAGCCTAGGATCAGGCTGGCCTGGCAGAGGGTGGCAGGGTTATTTTTCTTTGGCTGTTCTAGGGAGAATAGTCTCTGAGGCATAAGCCTGCCATTATTCCAAAACTGTGTAGCTTTTGTATTTTATGTTGTTTTAGTTTGTAAACTAATGCTA